TACGATGTCACCATGCTTCTTGAAAAGAAAGAATACGTCATTTACCTTGCATGCGTCTAGAATTTCTGAGAAGTAAATAGTTGTGATAGCCTCCTCTCTTGCATTGTTCCTCCTATCATTGTCTCCATAAGAATCCCATTTTTGAAAACTCTGTCCTTTGCTATTTCTCTTATGAGCCTTTTGCCACTCCATGAGGGTGAAAAAATGTGGAAAACTGTTAAAAGAGGTGATAGTGAAGTTAGAGAGAAGTTGAACCTTATTTTTTTAACACATCCCTTCAATTATGATTATGATATGTGTTGTAGGGGTGTTCGCGGTGTGGTTTGGGTGATTTTGACGCTAAAAGTCATCCAAACCGCAAGAGGAAAAACATGCGGTTTGGTTCAGTTCTGTTGGCTTTTAGGAAGAAAAAAATCAAACCAAATCAAACCAATGTGGTTTGGTACAGTTCGGTTGGTTCAGTTTTTTACAAATATTTTATTGAGTCATACATACACATATAGATGACAACATAACTTTGTATTTAGTCATTCATGCATTACCAAATAACAACAAAACTCATCATATTTTGACAACAACTTCTCATTTAATATGTATTAATTAGATTAGACAAAAATGGAATAATAAACATAAAATAATAGCATAAAACAATATCGAAAATATTATAATGAAACAAAAAAATTGAAGATATGAGAGATTACTGAAGATGAAAAAGAAAAAACATAAGAGATTAGAGATTAGAGAAGAAGATGTGTGATAAAAACAAAATTGAAAGAGGGAACATTTGCATAAAAATGAGAAGGTGAAAGGAAATAATATAAGAGAGAAGAGATTAAAGAAGAAGTGATAAGATATATATGGCTAAGAAGGTGCGATTATGCTAGGAGAAATTTGAAAAGACTGGAACAGACACCATAAGTGTAAGATGAAAAAATTATTCATTATCATAAGGCTAAGGTATAATAGGTTTAGGTTTAATATGAGTTAAGTAAAATTTAGGTTGTAATAACATAATGTGGTTTAATTTGGTTTGGCTTGGTTTGCGAGATACAAACCGCAAACCAAATTAAACTGTGCGGTTTTGTTAAAAGATGACCCTAAAACATTCGAATCAAATGCAGTTTTTTTGCGATTTCGGTTTAGTTTGATTTGGTTTGCAGTTTTCCATTGGGTTGGTTCGGTTTTGAACACCCCTGATATGTTAGGATAGACTATGTTGGAGAGTTTGGATCAGAAGAGAAAGGAGGACTTTGAAAAAAGATGAAAATTGAGTGGAAAGAATTGAAGGATTTTTGTAGGGAGGGTTTTGAAGGTTTTTTTAATTTATAACACCAAAAATCCCCTAATTTAAGGGAATTTAATTTTTTTATTGAAGGAGAGTTTTGGAGGGCTTACACAAATTTTCTAAATATCTTTTATGTTATAGGATTCTAAAAATTAAAAATATAGTAATGATAAAAACACACTTTTATCATTCTATAAAAAATCATTTTTTCAAAAAATATCAAATATTTTCCTATATTTTAAAAAAAAATTGTTTTCAGAAGCCTTCTCTTTCCTTTCTCTCTCCTCCAAACTTTAAAACATAACCTTAAAGGAGGACAAGGATATATTTATTAAAGGGGGTTAAACGAGAGTAAAAATTATACTCTATATGGTGGGGTTTATAGGGGGTAAAGATTTGCATCTTATAAAGGAGGATAAGGACATATATATATATATATATATATATATATATATATATATATATATATATATATATATATATATATATATATATATATATATATATATATATATATATATATATATATATATATATATATATATTCAAGGGGCTAGGAAAAGGATATCACTTATTCACAAATCAAAGGTTAAATCTTTGGTTGGTGGTCGATTCAAGATAGGCTTCCAACAAGATTTCAACTTGCAAAAAGGAGAATTATTTAGAGAAATCAAGACAACTTATGTGTGATGGATGTCCATAGGTGGAAGATATCCACCATTGATTCATTACTTGTAATAGATTAAGTAAGGTTTGGGACAAGATCAAAATTTGGTTAGGTATTGATTATGTTGTTGAGTCCAATTGTTGTAACTATTTTATGCAGATAGTGGATGTTTTGAAAAGGAAATGTGCTAACAAAAGAGTGGGTGTAAATTGGTTGGTGGTTTATTGGTGTATATAGAGACAACATAATGACATATTATTTAAAAATGCGGTGGGAGACCAAGATGAAATCGTGCACAATGTAAAGATGTACTCTTGGTGATGGTTAGACATTGGAACTAAAGAGAAGGTTTTGTGTAACTTTTATGAATGGTCTAAATGCCCTTTAGATTACATTTAATTAGTGGAAGGGTTGGTTGGCTTATATTACATTTCTAATTGCATTTGGGAGTTTGAGTACCCCTTTGTACTCTATTTTGAATATAATATTGATTATAAAAAAAACACCTTAAAAAACTCTAAAAAGACCTTTAACTTCTGATATTGCAGAAAAGTACAAAGAAGAGATTGTTGTTGACATATCATAACTCATTTCCAATGGCTATGGCAATAATAAAATCCAGAGACACGACAAACAACTTTTCTTATGCAAAAGGCATATAACAATGGAGTTTGTAGAATGAAGTATGACTTCAGGTCTGTAGAGGTAGAAGCATCACGGATTAGTCCTTTCTTATTTCCAAGCTCTCTTGCAATTTCAACATAAATTGTTGTTACAAAATCAACATATATATAGCTAAAGAGGTTAGAGCAAAATGTTAGGAAGTTTGTTGCGAAATTTCCAAAATCCATCACACAGGATTCAAATGTGGTTTTAATTAGGGACAAGCAACTAAAATTGCAATACTTGAATGGTTTAAAATTACTAACGATGCTGCTATTAAGAGGGCTTCAATTAATTATCCTCCCACGGGGAGTTTTGTAATCATCTATTAAGTAGTCTAGTATTATATTGCTTATGGTTGTTAAAGCACATATGGTGATAATATATAAGTTAAATTATGCTTTATATGTGGGCAATGGATAAAGAAGATGACATTATGTTATTTCTATGTACTTTCTTAAGTAAAAAAAAAAACTGAACAAGATAAAGACAACATTATGTTATTTCTATGTACTTTCTTAAGGAAAAAAACTGAAGAATTGCATTCAAAATGGTAAGTATAGTGCATAACACAAAAAATAAGGTATGGAGTATATGGTGTAACTTGGGAATTTCAGTTATTGTGCACTAAAGAAACTCAAGCATGAATTGAATTTGATCTTGGTTACAATCTTTGACATATCTCAGTAATTTGGATTACATCCTAACACATTTTGAAAACTCTATACATTTTGATCATGTAATTGCTGAAGGATCTTAAATGCATAGACAGTTACATGTCCTCACAATATTCAGTGGAATGATGAGGGTCTTGACAAAGAACTATACATTTAGATAAATTAGGTGACTCTATTATCTATGAATGGTTGAAGGCGGTGGTTGGACATACAAAAATTGGGAAATTTTAAAGGCTTGTACAAAAATAAAATGCATCGTGGTCACGAAGATGGGCCGCTTGATGAGATGTTGAATGGAGATCGCCTTGATAGAATCATGAAATTATTAAATTTAGAAGTATAATTTATCTTAGTTGGGATTTTGTTGTTTAGTTGGGTTTTTTAGCCATTAAGCCTTTATTCTACTATCCATTAGTAATATTATATATGTACTCTCACTAAGAGATGAAATATTATGAATTAAATGAAAAATGTCATCTTTTATTTTAATTTTATTTAGATATTATTAGTGTTCTTTTTCTTTTATGATTGAAATCATGGTATCATATTTTTGATAGGAAACTTCCTATCAATTGGTGCTTTCATTTCGATCTCATTCCTGGTAAGTGGGATTCTTGTGGAATTTTTATGGAGTAGAAGAACCATCTTGGTGGATCCTATCAATTGAAAAATATTTTAGAGCCAACAACATTGTGGAAGATGAGGAGAAGATGAAAGTAGTTGCAATAGTAATGAGAGGTTGTGCTCTTAAATGGTGGCTATGGAGGATTTAACCTCATTCATTGATGTCTTAGAATATTTTCACAAAAATATTTCTTTGGCATTTTAAACCCAAATGGAGACACCCTTTATTAAAATTAGATGAGGAATGGAAAAGAAGAATCAGACATAGAAGAACCTTCTTTTTTAGATTAACACTGAAATCATTTGAGGTTCAAAAAAAATCCTAAAGATCTAATTTTGAAGTCAATAATTTTTAGTCTACCACCACTAACATCGATACATCAACCTTTGGTAACTTAGTCGCTGCTCCCAGCAAAAACAACTTTGCCGTCACCACCTCCAAAGCCACCAGATCGAGGTTCGCGAAACACACCCTCTATGAAAATCACATTTTTAGTAGGTATCGCTAAGTCTCAATCCAAGAACAGTAGTTTTAAAGATGAAGTCAAATTTGTGGTTCCACCAAAACCTCTAGATTTCCAAGTGACTACTAATAACTCATGGGAATCACCATATGTTTTGTTGATTCATATGCAATTCACGCCTCAAAACAACAACTTGGAGTTTCTACAACCAAAACACACAACTTCTCTCCACTCTCGGATCTTCACCAAATTTCTTTGGATAAATCACATCCATTAAGCGTGATACATTTTGTCGATAAGGTTTTGTTATGGCATAGGCTTCCAATGTTTTCGAAGTTAGAATATTTGGGAATTATGAGACGTTTACACTATCATTACAATTTGTTACATGTCGCAAGAGATAATGGTGTTAACTATGATAAGCAACATTATTCCTATTGGACCATGACAGGTACTTGTGACGACCCCGATGATCATTTGGTTGGTAGTCGGGGAACTTGTTTTGGCCGGAATATGCCTTTAACCGCGTTAAAGTATGGGCTGCTTGATCCTCATTCTACTGTGGTGCATAAAAGCTTCTATGAAAGAAGAGTTTGATTGTCTCAGGGGATCAATTCAATATGATAGCTTGTTCGTGGATACAGTTCATGATTCACAATTGGATTGATCATTTGGAGGACACTGAACAGGTGGAACTTAGTGTTCCTGGTGAAGGGTTTGCAAGTGGATGTCCTCTGAAGACTTTCGAGTGTTTCAAGACTAAGAAATTCCAAACCGGCTCTTCGCATACCAAGTTTGGCTTCCAAAACACTAGGACTCCATGGTGGGATGGAAGTGTGGTATATGGGAACATTGAGAAGGGAATGAGTAGAGTGAGAAAATTCTATTTCTAAGGAGTTATGAAATCTTATTTCTATATGAATATAGAATACATAGGAATGAGACTATTGATGAATTATTTCATGTGCAATTTTCAACTACCGCAATTCACTTGCATATTAGAATGCATGTTGAAATTGCTAATATGTTAAGTTTTCTTTTATGTGGTTGGAATTATCTATATATATGGTTCTACACTTGGAGTTGTGTTGATTTCTCTACTATCCTCCATGCATACTGATGTTATTTTAGAGCATGGACAATCATTACATTTTCTTCACATGGGTAATACACATGTTTCTAGCTTATTTATTATAAATACATTAGAAAATTCCATTGAAATATGGAAGTCTTAGTTTCACAGCCTTGGAGGCACAATGGTCAGATTTGTTGAATGTGAAAACAATATTGGGTCACAACGGAAAAACTTGGAGAATGCTGAGGAAATCTATGTTGCAATCAAGGAAGAATTGATTAAAACAAAGAAGAATCAATTTTATTATTTTTTAGAATTATAAGACATCTAGAGTGGGATCTTGGTGGACAATTGTATATGAATATGCCAACTAATTCTTCTTTCAAACAGTGGGATCCAAGAGGGAAAAAAACTTGATTTAGCAATAAAGTTTTATAACCTTGAGGATAAGTTGTTCTTGAATGGGTGAGTAATGATAGAATCATGCGATTATTAAAGTTAGAAGTAGAATTTATCTTACATGGGTTTTTGTTGTTTAGTTGGGCTTTTTAGCCATTAAGCCTTTATTCTACTATTCGTTAATAATATTATATATGTACTCTCACTAAGAGATGAAATATCATGAATCAAATGAAAAATGTTATCTTTTATTTTAATTTTCTTTAGATAGTTTTAGTGTTCTTTTACTTTTATTATTGAAACCCTAGTTTCATACTTTTGATAGGAAACTTCCTATCAGGTGTTGAATGGAGATCGCCTTGATAGTACTCCTTATGAACTTCATTCACTACTAAAAATAAGATATTTGATTAAAGGATTTTACATCAGATTTTAAGATATATGATGTGAAAAATATTTATCAAAAGATTTTACATCAGACATTCATTTCTATTGATATAAAAAATAGCATGGTGGCACTTTCATAAATAAATTGAACATTTATTGTAAAGGATCTTACATCGGGTATTAATTTGCACTGATGTAAAAAGTCCATTGATAGAGGAAAAATACAAAGCGATGGCATTTTCATAAATAAATTGAATTTTTTTTATGAAGGATATCACCTCGGGTATGGATTTTCAGCGAAGTAAAAACTTGGGTCGTTACATCGGTCCATTTAGCAACTGATGTGAAAAACCTACAATTTCAATTAAACCCTAATTACAAACCTTGTTGTACATTTCTTTTTGTTTCACGAAGTGCTCCGTCTCTCTCCCTCCGCCGCCTCCCTTAGTCTTCTTCAGCGAATCTTCTAAGATATGAAGAAACAAAAACCAACTCAACCACACCACATTTCAGACCACAAAGAACCAGAAAATGAAGAAGATAACATAGAGAAAAGCACTAGCAAATTCCCTTCACCACCGCTTCATTCTCTCTCTGATCACCAATTTCCAACGATCATCGCTCCCTCCCTCTAGCAGTGCAACCGCCGGTGGTAACTGCTCATCGATTCCAGGTTGAGCTAGTGGTCATCACCAAGGTAGATCCCGATACATAATAGGGTTTCTTCGGCATAAAAGAGGTCGAACGAGAAAAATCAGGCACTGATGGTGGCGATGGTGGTGGTAACCGGAGATTGAGACCGGACGTGTCGAGTTTGTTGAAGACTGAAAAAGATATGAATTTGAATAAGTTTTTGTTGGACCTTAGAATTTCAGGGTTTGTTTTCTGTTTGGTTTCTTTTTCTGTGTTGGTTGCTGATAGAAAAAGGGTTGGGCTCTTGCTTCTTTATATTTGTACAAAGAATTCAAGTTAGCTACTTTCTTTTTTATATGCTCTAAGACTAAGTAAGAAAATAAGTGTTTTATTTAAGAGAATAAGTGTGTGTTTGGTTTGGTTCTAAGATTGTGAAAATTGATTTTGACTTGTAATTTTTTATTGCAGGTATAGCTTATCTGTGAATGTGATTCAGTTTGTGTATTCGGGGTTGCAGATATGTGATCTAGTGAAGAACTTGATCAGCCGAATGCATATAGTGGAGCAATTCACTTTAACGTGTAAAGTAAGTATTATCAACCATTAATAAATAAATCAAATTTTGACATTGGATAAGCATCATAACCAAGAATCACCGAGTTTGCTTAAATAACAACCTGTGATTTTCTCAATTTACATTAATCACATTAGAGAAGTCAAGTTTGTTAATTTTTATTGTCAATGTTCTAAAAATATTTTACCATCAATTTACACTTCTTCTGCAAACCTAACAAACCTCATATTTCACAGTATGCAATTGCGTTCAATTAAAAATAGTGTTTAACTTTCTTTGCAATTTTGCTATTCTATAAGATGGGTACATATTAGATGTTATTGGTAATATAGATAACTGAGTCATGGTTTCAAAGGTTACCTAACACCACAATTTCACAATTCTTTAAGCACTTCATTTCAACTGCTATTTGCTTTGATAAAACTGCCATCATCATAAAGTTTTCTTTCTATTATGTTGGTTATCGAGATAATTGATCTTAGGTTTCAAAGATTATTGAACATCACAATTTCATAACTCTTTTAACACTGTATATCAACTTACAAAGTCTTATCAGTAAATGAAGAATTAAATAATTATTTAATTGAGAAATTGTAAATTAATTATTTAAAGTAGGGTTTATTAACTCATGAACTCGTGACAAATTTATTCTCTAGTTAAACTTTTGAACTCGTTGTTCTTGTCAATTCAAAACTTGCCCATTTTCTATTCATAGACAAGTGCCCCTTAGTTTGTTCTGACAATCTTTCCTTGAAATTTGAGTTCCATTATCTAGTTTGCTATGTCTATGATTGATTTGCTCGTAATAATATTTTCTATTGAATAAGTGTGATGTAAATTATAATTTTATATTTAATTTTATGATAAGTATTCACCAATTATGTAATTCATTTGTAGACAAGGCAAAAACATAACTCTTAACGATTGTGGGTATTATGTGATGAAAAAAATGTTGGATATCGTCTCTGTCAATATAATCGAGAATTTGATGCAGGTAAGAAAAATAACTTTACTTTGTTATTGCATTTTGCAACTTAATGTGAATTGTCAAAGAATAACTCTATATTATTATTTACGTATTGTAGAAATTTGATGACCCAACAAAATTAACACAAGGTGATTTGTATGATTTGCGACTCCGTCGGACAAAATATTTCTTTGATGTCTTCAAAAATTAATTCTATGGTGAGTTATATAGAATTGTCTATATATATATATATATATATATATATATATATATATATATATATATATATATATATATATATATATATATATATATATATATATATATATATATATATATATATAATTTGAGTTTCTTGACTTTGGTGTTGTCTACTGATGGTAATTGGTGTTATTATTTATTGTTAGAAAATGTGATTTTGGTGTTGTCTATCGAAACTATAACTCATCTACTTGTGGATTTCATTTTGATAATTTGAGTGTGGGAAAGGACTTATAAATGGTTGGATACTTTTGTATGTTTTGTTGTTGTAGTAGTCCATCGTGTAGACTTCCTTATAATTTTGTACACTTGTGTGTATTCTAGATTATTACTTTTGTAAATCAATTATTCATTTTGAAGAATATATATATATATATATATATATATATATATATATATATATATATATATATATATATATATATATATATATATATATATATATATATATATATATATATATATATATATATATATATATATATATATATATATATATATATATATATATATATATATATATATATATATATATATATATATATATATATATATATATATATATATATATATATATATATATATATATATATATATATATATATATATATATATATAATGAAATTAGGTTAGTTAGAAAAATATGAAAATAGTGATCTAAATATGGTCTATGTGATGTTGGAAAACTATGAAAAATTGTGATCTAAATATGATCTGTATGATGTTGGAAAAATATGAAAAATTAGGTACCAAAAAAATTACACGGAATCCGCTAAAAAATAGTCAAATTCTTTAAGAAAAAAAGAAAACATATTACATTGGGTCATTGAGGTAACAAATGTTAAAACTTATATATTACATCAGGCCATTGAGACAACCAATGTTAAAACCTATATATTACATCGGGCCAATTAGGCAACTGGTGTTATATATATATATATATATATATATATATATATATATATATATATATATATATATATATATATATATATATATATATATATACATTAATTGTGTTTTTTTCACATCAGACCTAACATTCAACTGATGTGGTATGTGTATTTTTCACATTGGGCTTGTTGTACCCCAATTTTTGTCTCTAAGATCCCCTCATCATACCATGTTGATTCACATTAGGTTATTTTGGTTCTCCTCCCTATCTTTAGCTTTGCTCTTTGAGGAATCACCAAGCACCTTGACTTGTTTTCTTTTGTGATCATGAATATTTTGTCTTGATTTTCCTTTTAATTAATAAATACAATGTTGGTTTGTCTTACTTGTTAGTAATGTAGGTAAAGGCAATGAGGTTTAACAAGTTGCTCCATGGGTTCATGAGTTTATTTCCATGCCCTAGTCAATAAAGCTTGAGAAGTTCAAACCTCGCTATTGAAGTTGTTTTGGAAGGGATGGCATGACAAGGTTATTTTGGTTCACTACATTTCCAAGATATCAAGATTGATTCAAAAGTGCAAGGGATTGATTGAAGAAGTTGTCATGGTTGGACAAGGCCTTGTTCCCATTGGTCACAAGTACATATTTCTCTAAATTCTCAAGATATGGAAGTGGTTTTAGTAGCTATAAATTCTCATTTTCATCCTCAATAACTTCTATTTACAAAGCAAGAGTGTTGGTACAAGAAGGTGGTTCAAAATTGTCAAGGTTCCTCAAACATTTTCTTGATCTAGGAGCTAGGGTTTTGAACTTCAAAGAAGTATATCTTGCTCATCTTTTGGTATTTTTGAGTGATTCCAAAGACATCATTCTATTCAAAGGGTGATTAACAAATCACTTTAAAATTTTCAAGGAGTTTTCATGAGGAAGAAACTTGACGATGAAGAAAGATTACAAGTCCTCCAGATGAACCCCCAATTTCTCATGTGTGACTTCAAATGATCATAACTTTGTAAAATTTTATCACCTTGAGCCCACTCTTTTTCCATATTGATCTCGAGGATGTGAACTTTATGCCTTCTTTTATATGCAAAGTGAGAAAATTGATGGAAGATGCGCTAAGGATACAAAAGATTATATGTCATTTCATGATTTTTTGCCAACTTCAACAATTCATAACTATCTCAAATTTTGGAGATTTTGAATGGTTCAAGTCTCAAAATTTCATTCAAGAGGTCTATTTCATACCATATTTTTTGGTCAAGAGCAAATTCCAAGTGGAAGGTCATGTTTGGATGCAAAACATTATAGGTCACTTTTGAAGAAAAATTTGAAATATTTCTAAGTATGGAAAATCAACCCTTTTTCTCCAACTTTGACTCAATGCAACTTTCATATCAAGCATCCATTTGATTTTATTCTTTTTCCATTGCAAAGCTTGTAACATCATCTTTCTAAAGCATCAAGAATCATGCTCTAAGACCCCTTGAGTTGAGAATGTCATTGATTTGAACTTGGTAACTTGAAACTGAAGTTTCTTCAAAAGTCAGAATTTGAAATCATTGATTTAGCTTCTAAACACTTTGTTTCTACACTTTTTGCCTCTAAACATGTTTAGTGAACTTCCAAAAGGGATTAGCATAATAAAGTGCGCGTTTTGGATGAGTTTTGATCAAATTAGAAGTCACACTTATCTTATTTGCAACTTCACACGATTTCCCTCCAAACTTCATCATTTCACACGCTTGGACATTCCATTTGATTCCTTATAAATAGAGGGTCATCCCTCATTCATTTTCTTAAGCTTGGATAGCCAGAATCACCCTGCCAAACTTGTTCCATAACTCAAATTTCTGCAACTTCGAAATCTTTGTTCAAGCCTTTTTCAATCCAATTTTTCAATCAATTTACCTCCCTTGATCTTCCCTGAAGCTAACCATATAATTACCTTCAAGAATCGTGCCCTATATTGCTCCGTAGAAGTCCAGTTTTAGAGCTCTGCAACTCAACTTCAATAGGTAGATTTCTTCATCAATTCTTCAAAACTTTGATATCATTGTGATGCTCTCATTGCCCTTGTTCTAGTCGCAACACTTACTTTTATCTGGAAACATGTTTTGACCATGAAATTTCAAAACCCTTTTCAAAACTTTCCTTCCAAACTGCTTGAGCTACAGTTTATATAAATTTGTCGCGAAGGTGTGGTTGTCTTCGTCTTGAAGAGACGAAGCGAATGGCATAAGTCCGAGCTTCTGATTTTACAGTTTGAGAGACCTGCAATTCACGTCGGTTAGAGGTTGAAAATGACCAACGTGTCATCTTCCAACCAATGAAGGTACGCCATCTATTTTTTTTTTGAAAATTTGATTTAATTAATGATTCTATGCTTTATTCACTAATGACCATAATATGCACAACGCGCTAAATCCCTTAGATTTGATTACTAATGCGTTTTGACTCTCATCCAATGGTCCACATATTTTTTACTTTATTTTTCTTTTCTGATTTTTATATTTAATTGTTTTAAATTTCAAAAATCATAGAAAGTTCATTTTTAGTCCAAAAAAATCTGAAAAAATTATGAAAAATATTTTTGAATTTTCTCTTTCTGATTTTTATTTTCACAATTTTATTTTGTGTTTTGATATTTTTTAAAAATTTTAACTTTATTTGGATTTGTTTTAAATGTTTAAAAATACTTTTATGCATTTTTTAATTCTGAAAAAATTATGGAATGATCCAATGATGTCGTGACAAATATTGGTGACCTGATTCATTTTTTCTCTGACTTTGGTATTTTTTTTATCATTTTTGGTTCATTTTGCTCATTTCTTTTCATTTTAAAAATACTTTCTGACTTTAAAAAATTACCAAAGATTTTATAGAATTATTTTAGTTCATTTCTGATTTTTCTATGATCTCACTTTTTATTTTTTGATTAATTTGAACATAGTTGATATTTTTCTCTTTTATTTCTATTTTAAAAACATTTTAAAACTTTTTTTAATGTATTTAATAAATGCAATATTATTTTGTGATTATTTTCTAACTGATCTTAGGTTGAATTTTTGATTATGAACTTTGTTAACATCATTGGATCCATGGTATTGAGTTTAACTCCATAAAAATGGATGAATGATTTTAATAATAGTTTAATTAAAATTTAATTCAAATGTGGTTTGTATGTTCTTTCCCACCCATCTTCACCTTATCCCTTTCTTATTGCACTAAGTATTATTGGAGCATGATCTCTATATAATGTCTCAAAACAAATGGTGCATAAATTGTTATTGACCAGCCTCAAAATAGGTGCGACTTCTACATAAGTCCACTTACGATTGCTTAACATAGCGCTAAATTTTATCCCAATTCAAATAAATGATCATTCGTGGCCCAAACCTATGTTTGGAAGCCCAAGTATGTTAATTTGATCTCTTTGATCCAATAACCTTGAGATTCATTGTGTGGAGGCTTTGGTTCTACCAATCCTCTAATGGATCTACAACACTTTTGGTCAATGCGGATCACTTAAATATCGTTGATCATTAAATGGTACTTTTGAGGATTCCAAATGGATGATATACTTGACAAAAAGCAAATGTAACTTGTTGTGTAAAGGCTTTGGTTCTACAAATCCTCTAATAAGTTCCAAATGCAAGTTTCAAGATGGTCATCCAACTAACCACTAATTATTAAGTTATTTTTACTTTATGCCTTTTATTTTTTATGTTTTATGTACCATTTACTTTTAGCATTACATTTCATGTCTTTTTTTTTTGCTCACTTGAGCTTTTCTTTT